TTTACTCTAAATATAATAAAAGAAATATTTAAAAAAAAATTAATTTTATATATATTAATTTTCTAAAAATACAAATGTTTAAAATAAAATGATTTTTTATATTAATATTTTTATATTAATTTGTTTTATAAGTCAAATTATATATATATTTTATATATATTTTATATCATATAATTATATATATATTCTTTTATTATGTATGTGATTTGTATTTTTATTCAAACAAAGATTAATTTTTGTAAATTTAAATTATTAAATCACATACCTATATTTTTGATTATTTTTAAATTCATTATATGAATGATTATTGTTATTTTTATGAAAAATATTTTTGTCGTATACATTTTCTTCAAAAACAAAATCCCTTATATCACTGTTTTCTGTAGATATAGAATCATTCGAATTAACTGTATTTAAATCGATATGGCGATTTCTACAAGTTTTTAACACTTTTTGAAATTGTACGTCCATTTCTTGATTTCCAGAATGACATCTTAAAGACTGAGAGAAATTTTTGAATCAATTTCTTAATGTAAATGTTATTACAATTAATATAATTTTATACAAATAGAAATTTGTATAAATTATAAGTTTATATAAATATAGAAAGAAGAATGAGCAAGTGATGTTTTGATATTTTTTAGAAACGATTTAGAAGTTTTAATTACATATGCATGTAATTTTAAGAATTAATCTCGATAAATATTTCGATCGCATAAATATTTTTTTTATTTAAATTCTTATTTTATTTAAAATCTATATTTTTTTTTACAATTTCAAAAAATATATGTTACCATATATTTTATATTTCATATCACACTGAAGAATGATATAAGATAATTATTCGAGAAGTAATCTTAAATATTTCAATAAAATTGTAGAATTGCATATTTTAATTTTTATAAATTTTTATTAATCTGTATAATATATCAAAATCGCAGCGAAACTAACATCATTGAATATTATTATCATCATTGAACTTTTAATTTTAATTAATACCAAATTATTTTATTTCTATATTTAAAACAAAAATATTTTTATAACATTCCTTGATGTTTTTCCTTGATGGTTTCTTATCAAAGAAATCTGCCTTATCGTATGGTATAAATACATTATTTTCTAAATTCTTTTATTTTATTTCAAATAAATTAAAACAATATTAATAAAAACAGATGCATTTCAACTTTTAACTTTAATCATTATTTACATATATTTAAATATTTATAATCTAATAATTTTAATTTATTTGAGAAAGTAGAATCATATAATCATTTGGTATCAAGAATAACTGAATAATTATTATTCAAAAATTGTAGGTTCTACAAAAAATCTTTCAAAATTGAAATTTTCTTCAAAACTTATGAATTTTAGGGAAAAAATAATTTGCAAATTTATATTCAGCATATTAAAATCTATAAGAATCTATATATATCTATTAAAAATTACATATTGAATAATATTATCTAATTGAATATCAATAATATCAACTTATTTTTTTTTATTTTATTTATTTTAAGTCGTTCTTTCTATTTTTTATATTAATTAAATCTAGGTATAACATGTTATACAGTTAAAAAAAAAGTTTTTACGTCATAAATTATCATAAGTATGCATGTATATGTAATATAAATATGATTATTATATATTTTTATTAAAAAAAAAATGTTTTTACGTCACAAATTATCATATGTACATATGTAATATTGATACGATTTTTTTTGACTTTTAATGAACTTTGAATAAGAAATAAACTGTAAAAAAACAAAAAGTGGAATTTGAATTATA